AACTATCAACAAAATATTAAAAATGAACTGGTTAGGGTGTCAGAATCTGCTTCTATATTGGCTTTAAATATTTACTTTAAAATATGGTCTGGGGCCTGTTAAGTTACTGGGACAGTAATTCAAGAAACAGGCCCCCCAACTTAAGATATGAAGGTGCCCCTACACCTTTGGGGAAAATGTATATTTGACCATGGAAGAAAGATGATAGTCTTCATGCAGAATCACAAAATAATAAAAAACTGGGGTATGATCTTGATCTCGCTTAAGAGTTACAGACAAAATAGTATCTGCTAAGGAAGTGAAAGAGGTAAGAGGTTGTTGTAATTTCTATGATCTCAACCCACACCACCCCCTTGAAATTTTTTTCCAGAGTATTTATTTCTCTGTCTAGTACCCTACACTCCTTTTCTGGGTCAAGTGACCCTACCTCCATCATTACTACCCCTACTTCTGAGTGTTATGTACCCATACCTCACTCCTTCACTTAGTGATACGGGCTTTTTCCGTTTGCTCCGCCTTCGCACGCTTCCATCGCTTGTTCCTTCCCCAAGGGAGCCCACTTCTTCAGAATCATTCTGACAGACCTCATTAAAAACATACACAAGCTCCGAATCGTAAGCTGACAAACTCTGTCCCTCTTTCGTTTTAACGCCAGCACCTCCAAAGACAACAACATCACCATCGCATAGGACAGCAGAGCTACGCTTTGTTTTGTTGACTAGCAGCCCGTTCAGTCCTTTACAATCAATTCTGAATTTTCCATTGCTGAAATGAATTTCAGCGTGAACACGACTGATCATTAAAGGAGATATCATACTGTCAATAACAACATCTGAATATTCATTACTGCGTCCGAGACGAGTGACAGTCGGTTTTAGCAAAATTTTTTCTGGTTGTAGAGATGGATCATAGCAATTCCCTTCGACCCTCTGCAGACAGAGCATTTTTCTCCTCTGTTTCAGTGTGCAAAAGCCTCTTATACCACTTCAAGATTCTTCCAGTGTTCTTGAATTACTCTCCAAGCGGCCATTTTAACATACGACACGATATTCGGAAATCTTTCGCACAAGATCGGAGAAGCTCGGGTGTAGTTTTTCGTTGGCAAAAACAGGAATAAGGAAAAGGAAAACGGAAATCAGGAATGAAAGGGACGTGATGTTTTGTTTTATTGCAGACCATTCTCACGCTTACATCGCTCCTCGACTGGAAACACGCGAACTGTGTTGATCAGCATGCAAAGTTTTGAACTTTTAACTGAATTTAGACGTTTCGGAACCCAGTCTGTTCGGACAGTGTTTGCACAAAATAGGGAATTTTGCTCTTTGATGCTGTCGTTGTGCGCGTTTTGAAAGTTTGAATATACAGCAAATGTCGGTATAAATAGTAAATAAATTAGTTAATTCATCTAGTTGCGGTTCTTGTGCTGCCGTAGTAACTTTATATGGTATGTACACACGGATATAAAAAACTGTATTCTCAAAGAGCACAATTCAACTAAGTGTCCTGAAACCAAATCTAAAGTGATGGCAACTGCTGATCATCGAGCACTTTTTAATTAAGTATAGAAAAACCTGAACCAAAGTGGTCAAAAGTGACAATCAGAACAAAAAGTTACCATCATCATTAGCCAATAAGAACCCAGAGTAGAAACGGGCAACCTCCTTGAAGCGCGGGAAAACGCGGGTGACCAAATTGTGTTTAGTTTTAGTTTTACATCTGATTGGTTAAGATTGTGACATACGTTTTCAGGACCAATCACACAACGAAGTAAATCAAAACCAAAACAATCCAGCATCACTTTCGATACTCAGTTGGAAACTGCTCTAACAAAAGAAATATAACAAAAAACCAAAGATAACTCAAAGAAAAAAACTGGCAAAGAGCCTGAAGCGTTGGAAATATGTGAATGCTCTTACCTGACTGGTCGAAAGGGCGGCATAGGCTTTCTAAACCAATAACAGACCAAAGATAATTGAAACCAATAGAATCATTGACTATTTTCGACATAGTATTGCGGTACTTGTTAGGTCTGATATGTAGAGTTATTTTCTGCTGGTTATCCATGCATTCTCGTAGTTTATTTTCCGTCATCGTCACCCTTTGTTACAAAATCGAAACTGTCTGCAAGGAAAAGGGTTCGATGAATATTACAGTCTCTCCCCTTCACTGGAAAATGTCTTTAAAAAGATAAAATATCATTGCGTTCAAGCGTAAGCTAATACCTCTCTACATTGTACGAAATGTTTGCCTCGTCTGTGTACAAAAAAAAAAAAACCCAACTGTTTATGACCTCTTTCATGACCTCTTTCCCGACTAAGCCCCATGTTGCGATCAAGTTTTCCTTTTAAGGAAAGGGGGAAGAACGAGAAAGAGCAATTGTAGTGCTTCCCTACCATCCCCCCCCCCTCCTAAAAAAAACTGCCTAATTTAAGCTAAATGAGTCCATGCTTCTCAAAGACTGGTAAAAGGTAGTAGCAAAAACTGGGTACCCAAAAGCCGTGCCCCCCGTTTCTAGGATTTGTGTCTTGTTTAAGGAAGGGTGTTTTAAACTGGATATTGATTCGTGGCTGATATGTGTAAACTTTTCATTGGGCCAAACTCTTTTGCTCCTTTCCCCCTAACATGGGTCCCACTTCAACCCCTGGTATTCTCCTCAATGTGTGGCAGCATGATGGGGTCATCGACAGGAGTGCATCCCACCCCACCCCCAAGGCTCTTGGTTTCTACAATACTTCCCTTTTTTCAGAAATGTTTGCGCACCAAAAATGTGTTAGCACATCCAGCAGGCCGACAATGAGCTCCAGTGTCATGCTCAGTTGTGGAGGAATATCTCTTCTTTCTAGGGATGTGGTGAGGGGAGGCTGTGTAGCTGGAATGCATCCCAAATCATCAGCCTCCCCAGTCCTCCCTGTTACTTCATCTAATTTGCTCTGTCTCTGAACAATGAAAATTTGCAAGACAACATCTCGGTTAACTTTGCTCTTAAACTGAACCAAGCAATGCGAAAGGGGTTCTCGTGAACTTCACATCTTAGCTTTCAACTGATGCAATCTGGCAAAGTTAAAAAATAATTCACTATAGTCTACTTCATCCAAAGAAGAGTTTTAAGTACAAAAAAAAGAGAGAAAATTTATCCATTACTCATGCAGCCATTCTTGTTGCACAGTTAACACACTTTTGCAAATCAAACAAGTAAATTTATTCACAATGCATTCAATAAGATATTTGTTTCAACAATGGTCAATGCTATAGAAACTTAAAGGATAAGTACTGTGGAACAGTTCATGAATACAATGGAAAGTATCCTATATTATCAGTAATTCATTCAATCAATCTACATTTTTATAATACTTAAAGAAACTTATTCATGAAAACTCCTCCATGTATAAAATAGCTAAGTAGAAATGCAAACTTGATGCATTCAAAACACTCCTCAGCCTTTAGACAGTTTCTGATAACATTTTAAATGTTATTCCTCCAAAAGCAACGAAGTACTACGAAATTGTTGAATTGTTTACAGCTTAATCATGCAAGCTGCTGTCAATGTGTTAATTAAAAAATTTGATACAAAGGCATGCTCCATCTGATGAGAGAATTAATATTATTAAACTTAGCCAAAACTCCACCAAAATATGCTCATGGAAAGACTACTTAAACATGCTGAAAAATTTACATCCATCAATGCCGCTGTACATTTGTTTTGCAGAAATGTATTTTTTTGCCTTTACAATACTCCTACAAAGCTTAATCTCGTTTGAAATCGATTTTGTGGTCTGTCAAAACTATAACAAAATTCTTGCATGTGATTGGTTATCACCAGCTCAATTTGAGTACCAATTTGACAGTGCAGGTGTCATGCTTGTAACTGGACCATTGAATTGAACAGTTGACATGTCATGCCTGTGTAGGTGGACAGTGCGTGTCATATGCATGCGCTGTTATCGCGCATTTCGGCGACTGAACCGAACCGTTGTTTTTTCATGAAAACGTATAACCGATGTCTAGTTTCTTTCTTAAACTCGTGATTGACAAATCGCACTCCTGCTTCGCGGTCATCCGACTTTGTCAGTCACTGGTATGATTACAGACCGATTTGGACTTCACTCAGCCCTATTACTTCAATTAATTTAAAGCACAAACAATCACATTACTACAGTGATAAATCAACAATTCTTTGAAATCTCCTTAAAAAATTAGAAGGCTAGTTGCTGATTCTAGCCTTTTTCTTTCGAATTCTCTTGCGACACGTGACATGTCACAGTTTTCCGTAAATTAATAAAATAATAAAACTTAAAGATATTCACAAAAGGTTTGCTTACGAAGAATTGATTGTTACTTTCAAAAAAGGGCATTCATTTCAGAATGTAAACTTCGTTCCCTTTGTTATCTGTGACCAAAATCCGATCATCTAGCATTGGGGTAACGCTCCAGAACCATCCAAATTGAATATTAGTACTTGTCTTTCCAATGAAAGTTCCTTCCAATGTAAACTGTTGAACTCGATTATTCCCCTTGTCACATAAGAAAACGTTGTTATGTTTGTCAACACATAAGCCAAACGGCATATCCATCTGTCCATCACCGTTTCCTTTTTCTCCAAACTTGAACAAAAACTGTCCTTTCTCATCAAACACTTTAACACAGTTATTATTCCTGTCAGTTACAATGAACTTTTCCTCGTAACAAACGCAGCTGACAGGATTATCTAGCCTTTCTGGGCCGCTGTCCCCAAACTTAAGCACAGGTTCACCATCCATTGTAAACACCTGAATTCTGCTGTTCTTAAAATCCGTTGCAACAGTAAAACGCCCATCACTTGTAATACAAACACTTGCAAGATTCTCAAACTCTCCATCTCCACTTCCCTTTTTTCCAAAGCTTTTCACAAAGTTCCCTGTCTGTACATTCAACTGCTGTATTCGGTGATTATATTGATCCGCCACCAGAATCTCGTCATCGTTTAGGAACGTGACGTCGACTGGAATTCTTAATTGTCCATTCTCGTCTCCATGAGAACCAAATTTTCGCACAAACTTTCCTGTCTCGTCAAATACCTGGATACAGTGACCTTCAGAATCAGCCACAGCAATAACACCTTTACTGTTCACTGCAATGCCGGTTGGACCTTGAAGCATTTTTCTCTGAAAATCCAGCTTGCCTACAACATTTAACTCTCGTGCTTTGACCAGAATAGAAAATGGACTCTTGGCAAGTTTCTGTCCATTTATCTTCACTTTCATTTTATGGGTACCTGGTACTTTTCGCTACAAATTTTCGCCACTGCGTCGAACAGCAAGAAGATTCAACAGACTATTGTGCAGAAAGCTGCTCGGCAGATTATCAAAACGCTTTCCTTCAGGGATGCCAATTTGTGCCTGACACTCGGGGCATGGATAAAACCCTTGTTTTTGTCTCCTTAGTGCATGTCTCTCCAGACATTCACAGCAGAACGTATGAAGACAAGCAATGGTCTTCGGTTTCGTGTAAGTATCCAAACAAATCGAACATGTTACATGCTCTTTGAGGTTTTTTAGAAGCGACTCCATCACGAATTGCTGACAAAAACACAGCCCTGGTTTGTTTAAGATACCTAGAAATTGAACTTGGATTAGCATGCTATTTAAAGCAGCGAATCAGATCACTGTAGGATCGCGTGATCTTCGCGCAGAGATCGACAGTCTAGCAATCTTGTCCACCTATTGTGTACTATTACGATCACTGAGTAGTAAAATCGTGAACGAATGTGTCGCTCTAGCCACTGTTTTACGAACAACAACACGCTACGAAGGTTTGGAAATAAACCATCTAGCTCATTTTGTCGTCGCTACATTTACCGCCGTTTAGTGAGTTTGAGATTCTAAGAAACTTGTTTGACACCACACGAGAAATAATCAGTATTCTATTAAAAGCAGCGAATCGGATCTCATCAGAAGAGATGTCGTATTCTCCAGGGCGGTATTTGATAGCTTCAGTTTTGGATTTCAATGTTTCTAGGGAAGCGCAGGAAAGTAACAATAAACAAATGTCTGGTTTTCATGTGCTGTCACGAGAGATAAACGGAAAGGTAAAATCTGCTTTCTTATGGGAACAGAAACTAGCTTAAAGGTTATAACCTATTTTTATTCGTTTGCCTGTCGTATTTGATGCAGATCGTGGATTGGGATCAAAGTCAATGGAACTGCGCACCTACCCTTCCCCTAACCCAAACCAGTAAACCGATAGCAAGTTAGGGTTGATGTTGGGTTGAGGGAGGCCACGATTTTAGTGTTTACTTATGCTAATAAGAAAATCATGCCTCAAAACTGCTGTGTTCTCTCCCATTTAAAGAACTTCTAGGAATATCGTCTTCAGTTAAGAACGAAGATCCCAGTCAATTGAAAAATTCAGAGTTAAAAGTTTTGGCTTCAATGTCGAGGTGATAATTGCAAAGGATTCTTCACAAAAGCGCAACTTTGCAAACGGTAAGAAATCTTTCGGATTTATGGTTTGAAAACAATGGTTGTCATGGCCTTGCAGCTCATGGGGTTTGTTCTCTTTCGGAGTGATGGACTGCATGGAAGCAGGTATTTCCCATCTCATCCAACATCTCTCCGTATCGCGACTATCCATTTTGTGAACAGATCTTTGTCTTCTGGGAACTTGTTGAAAGGTATTTTCAATCCACTCTCTTCGTAAACCTTCCTTGTACACCCTGAACACAGCAGTTTTGAGGCATGATTTTCTTATTAGCACAAGTTAAACACTTAAATCGTGGCCCTCGATACCTCGTTCTCGAAGCATCGAGGATTAAGGATTGAGGGTTATTGAGAGCTCTCAACATTTAAAGCCGCCGAAGACCCTTTCTTGAGCTCTTGTGGATGACATCGAAAATGTAACGCAGTGACTAAATGCTAGACAGCCGGGTACGGTATCAAACAGACTAAATACCCGGCAGTCAAAAATTTTCACGCAATTTCCGCCGCAAGGTTCTTTCAAACTTCTTATTAAGAATATCAAATGTTTGTTGAGGAATGTCAAGCGATTCCAGAAATATATTTGGTTTTTTGGTGGACAAATTCTCTGCGCTTGTGCATACTATAATATCGTTCGGTTGTCGACAACTTGGAAATTCTACGCTTCTTATCAGAGGGCTCACACTATTTTGCGAAACGAAACAAAACGAAACGAAACCAAATGAGAGCGTGATAACAAAACTAAAGGAATAATGCAGATGTATTTTCTAATTAGGTAAAGATAACTTTCACACGAATTTTGAAGTAATCGTTCATTAACAAGAGGGATTTTTATTCATTTCGCTAATGGATATTTTGCGAAATATATTTTAATACGGCTTAAGAAATAAAAGGAGGCCAACATCTTTGGTGATATATTAATTTGTGACATGAAAGAGGTCACGTTGTCACCGCAGGGTGAGAATTGTCCATTTCGCAAAATAGTAACTCTCCTAAAATTACTATACTATTTTGCGAAACACAGTTTAATACGGCTTAAGAGGAGGCCAACATCTTTGGTGATATACTAATTTGTAATATCAAAATGTATTTTTGTGACACGAAAGAGTCAATAGTCCATTTCGCAAAATAGTCCCTCTTCAAAAATTACTACTTTGCGAAATGAATAAAAATGCTTGGTTGTCGTCACTGAAATTCTACGCTTCTGATCATACCGCCGGGCTCGGTCTCAAATAGACTAAATGCCCGGCAGTCAGAAATTTTCATCAAAATGCCACTGAAAGGCTCCTTCAAACTTCTAAAGAGTAGCAGATGTTTTTTTAGAAATGTCAAGCGATGCTAAAAATTGCATTGGTTTTTCAGTGATCAAGCTTGAACCACATGAACATGTCATAAAGCTTGGGAGGTCAGGCTAGTTTCATTCAATATGTGGTCTTCGTGACAGCAAGGGCCAGAATGCAGTATGTCAGAACACCTTCAGTTTTGAAAAAAAATTGGCGGGAAACAGTACAAAAAAAACCTCAAATAAACCTATTGATAATCCAGTAATCGATGTTTGTTTAGATTTCCCGAGTGATTCTAAAATTATTCAGAGGACAAATTTTCCGAGCTGATCGAACCACAAAATCGCTCGATTTGCCGACTCTTGAACAGACTGCCGGGTGTCCTAGCGGATTTGGACCCCACAACAAAACTGAGTGAAAACATCACCCTTGACGTTCTAATAGAATTAGATAATACTTTACGTTCTAGTGCGTACTAAAGTATGTTTTTGATTCAAAACATGCGACTGGCAGCTGGAAATGACCCGTCGGATGTTTCTTTTGACCAAGGGAAAATGCGCAAGCATTCAGTTTAATGTTGGGAGGAAGGTCGTTTTTAACCTTTTCCGCGATAGTCGAACACCGCTGGATTCAATTCGAGACAAACTTTTGACACTAAATTATTTTGTTTTTGTTCAATGTCCTAGTGGTGGGACGACATGGTACAGTGCAAGGTGTGCGAGGAATGGTTGCACATGAGCTACGAGGGATTTAAGACTGCCCCGGAGGGCGAGTGGCTCTGCACTGTCTAATAATAATAATAACGAATTTTTATACAGGATTGAAAAACCCATCAGTGTGTA